AACCCCCCGATTTCCCCCCTTAACCCCATTTCTCCCCCCAGGCTGTGCATCGTGAACGACGAGCTCTTTGTGCGCGGGGCCAGCCCCGAGGAGCTGCGCAAAGCCTTCGCCCTCCCGGCGCCCACGCCCTCCTCCAGCCCCGTGCCCACCCTGACGGCCGAGCAGCAGGAGATGCTGGCGGCCTTCGCCATGCAGTCGGGCATGAACCTCGAGTGGTCCCAGAAGTGAGTCCAAAACACCCCAAATTCGCCTCAAAAAACGAAAAAAATCACCCCAAAAACGTCTGAAAACGGTTCAAAAATCGCTTCGAAAATTGCTGAAAAATCCCTCCAAAAATGGCGCAAAAATTCCTCAAAAAATGGATCCTAAATCCCTTCAAAAGTCACTAAAAAATCCCTCCAGAAGTGGTGCAAAAATCCCTCCAAAAATGGCTCAAAAATCCCTCAAAAAATGGATCCTAAATCCCTTCAAAAATGGTTCAAAAATCCCTTTGAAAATGGATCAAAAATCCCTTCAAAAGTCACTAAAAAAAATCCCTCCGTAAATGGCTCAAAAATCCCTCCAAAAATGGTTCAAAAATCCCTCCAAAAATGGCTCCAAACTCCCTTCAAAAGTTGCTCAAAAATCCTTCCAAAAATGGTTCAAAAATCCCTTCGAAAATTGCCCAAAAATCTCTCCAAAAATGGCTCAAAACACCTCAAAAAATCCTTGAAAAATTCCCTAAAAATCCCTCCAAAATTCCCTTAAAATCTCCCCAAAAATCCCCCAGAAAAACCCTGAAAACCCACCTGAAATTGCTCAAAAATCCCCCAAAATTCCCCCGAGCAGCAGGAGCTGCTGTTGGCCTTGGCCGTGCAGTCGGGCATGAACCTCGAGCGGTCCCAGAAGTGAGTCTGAAATATGTGAAATTCACCCCAAAAACGCCCCAAAAAACAAAAAAATTCACCCCAAAACAGCCTAAAAATCCCACTGAAAATTGCTGGAAAATTGCTCCGAAAATGGCTCAAAAATCCCTCCAAAAATGGCTCAAAACACAAAATGGCTCAAAAATCCCTCAAAAAATGGCTCAAAAATCCCTCAAAAAATGGATCCTAAATCCCTTCAAAAGTCACTAAAAAATCCCTCCAGAAGTGGTGCAAAAATCCCTCCAAAAATGGCTCAAAAATCCCTCAAAAAATGGCTCCAAATTCCCTTCAAAAGTTGCTCAAAAATCCCTTCAGAAATGGCTCAAAACACCCCAAAAATCCTTTTAAAAATCATCTGAAAACTCCTCCAGAAAGTCTCTTAAATTCTCTCAAAAAATGTTCCTGAAAACCCCAAAAATCCCCCCAAAAAGAAAACCCACCTGAAATTGCTCAAAAATCCCCCAAAATTCCCCCGAGCAGCAGGAGCTGCTGTTGGCCTTGGCCGTGCAGTCGGGCATGAACCTCGAGTGGTCCCAGAAGTGAGTCTGAAATATGTGAAATTCACCCCAAAAACGCCCCAAAAAACAAAAAAATTCACCCCAAAACAGCCTAAAAATCCCGCTGAAAATTGCTGGAAAATTGCTCCGAAAATGGCTCAAAAATCCCTTCAGAAATGGCTCAAAACACCCCAAAAATCCTTTAAAAATCCTCTGAAAACTCCTCCCCAGAAAGTCTCTTAAAATCTCCCCAGAAATGTTCCTGAAAACCCCCAAAATCCCCCTGAAAATCCCTCAAAAACTGCTCCATAAATGGCTCAAAAATCTCTTAAAAAATGGCTCAAAACGCCTCTGAAAATCCTTGAAAAATTCCCTTAAAATCCTTTAAAAATTCCATTAAAATCCCTCCAAAATTCCCTTAAAATCCCTCAAAAATTCCCTTAAAATCCTTTAAAAATTCCCTTAAATTCCTTTAAAAGTTCCCTTAAAATCCTTTAAAAATTTCCCTTAAATTCCTTTAAAAGTTCCCTTAAAATCCTTTAAAAATTCCTTTAAAAATTCCCTTAAATTCCTTTAAAAGTTCCCTTAAAATCATTTAAAAATTCCCTTAAAATCCCTCAAAATTTCCCTTAAAATCCCCCAAAAATCTCCCCGAAAAAAATCCAAAAATCCCCTAAAAATCCTCAAAAAAACCCTCAAAAAAACCCTCAAAAATCTCTCAAAAATCCCCTAAAAACCCCCAAAATCCCAATTTTCCCTCAGGTGCCTCCAGGACAACGACTGGGATTACGGCCAGGCCGGCCAGGTCTTCACCCAGCTCAAGGTCAGTTTTCCCTTTTTTTTATTCCATTTTTTTCCCCATTTTTCCCCTTTATTTTCCCCTTTTTTTCTCCTGTTTTTCCCTCATTTTTCCCCATTATTTTTCCCATTTTTCTTATTTTTTTCCCCATTATTTTCCCAATTTCCCCGTTATTTTTTCCCATTATTCCCCATTATTTTCCCCATTTTCCCAATTTTTCCCCATTGTTTTCACCATTGTTTTCCACATTATTTTTCCCCCATTTTTTCTGTTACTTTCCTGATTTTCCCCATTAATTCCCCGTTAATTCCCCGTTAATTCCCTATTAATTCCCCATTAATTCCCCATTAATCCCCCCGTTATTCCCCCGTTAATCCCCCGTTATTTCCCCGTTAATCCCCCCATTATTCCCTGTTATTTTCCCATTTATTCCCCCGTTAATTCCCCCATTAATTCCCCGTTAATTCCCCGTTAATCCCCCGTTATTTCCCCCCGTCACGGATTCCCGTCCCCAGCTCGAAGGGAAGATTCCCGAGGTCGCTTTTCTCAAGTGAACGTTGGAGATCCCCGCCCCCCCCGGGCCCCGCTCCCGTGTTCGAGTCCTTTCGATCCCCCGAGTTTTGTAAATAAACCGATCGATTATTGATTATTGAGGCGTCATTCATTCCCGATTATTAATTATTAATTATTAATTATTCCCCGCGGCGCCTTTAAGGGGGGGGGGCGGTGAGGGCAGGGCGGAAACCTGCCCTCAACAAAGATGGCGGCGAGCGCGGACTCTGATTGGCCGACGCTGAATCAGCGCGCACAGCCGATTGGCTGACCCGCTACGTGCAACCCGATTGGCTGCGGCTCGTTTCTCGCCGCGGCCCATTGGCCGATGCGCTGTGTGACCCGGAAGCGCCGCCCGGTCTGACCCGGAAGTACCGGCGGCGGCGCCCGCAATGGCGGCGCGGGCCGCGCTGGACGCGGCGGTGGCGGCGGCGAAGCGGGACGTGGTTCTGTACGAGCACGACCGCAGCCGCTTCTTCCGCCTGGTGGGGCTGTTCTGCGCGGGGCAGGGGCTGCTCTGGGCCTGCCTGGCGCGCTTCGCCTTCACCGCGCTGCGCCCGGTGCCCGGCACCGGCGCCGGGGCCGATGACCCGCTGCGGCCCCGCGACAACAAGTGGCGCTTTGCCTTCACGGCGTCCTGCCTCACCGTCGGTACCGAGCCAGCGGGGCCGGGGCGGGAGCGGGGGAGGGAACCGGGGTCAGGGCAGGGCAGCGGGGTCACACCGGGGTCACACCGGGGCCGGACCGGGCTGAAGGGAGGGGAGTGGGACTCACACCGGGCACTGGGGGCTCCCACCGGGGTCACACCGGGTGTCAGGGGGGACTCGTGGGGGGACACCGGGGCTCAGGGGGGGGCTCAGGGGGTGACACCGGGGTCACACCGGGGCCGGACCGGGCTGAAGGGACGGGACCAGAGCTCCCACCGGGGCTCGGGGGGAGACTCGTGGGGGGACACCGGGGCCCGGGGGGGCTCAGGGGGTCACACCAGGCTCCCGCCGGGGCTTGGGGGTGACACCGAGCTCACACCGGGGCTCAGGGGGGGGCTCCGGGGGTGACACCGGGTCCCGGTGCCGCCCCCGACCCCGTTCCCGTTCCCCCCCCGTGCAGGCTCGCTGACGCTGGCCGCGGGCTGGGCGCTGCCGCTGCGCTCGGTGGCGCGGCTGACGCTGCTGCGCGGCGGCACCGCCGTGGCCATCGGCACCCCGGGGCCGCTGGGGCTGGGCCG